ACAGTGAGTCTTTCATTTCGCAACAAACAAATGGCAAAATGGCAGGTATGCTTAAAAATAAAGCTAATATAGCTGTCTTCTAAATCTGGGCGCCTAAGAACCCACATAGGTGCAGGGAAGCTTCCTGTTTGTAAATTGGGTTCCAGTCGAGTTCAGAGTAGTACAATCTGAAGGTACAACCAGTTTTCAAAATTCTGCCTCATAATCTCAGTCTCGGAATACATGACTGAAGGCCGATTTACATTAACCTCGCCGAAATTCACTGCTTCAAAACTAGGCTGGGGAGCCGTCAATCTTTAAAACCAAGAGTGGGGTCAATGCATGGAAAGAAGACATTTATAGATACTTTAGGTGAAGTTTGCAACGTCCCTACACCGTCCACATTGCGATCTGCAGCCAGATATATTAGTTATTCAAAGGCCAAGTTACAAAACACCTTATGCGAAAAGGTTAAGACAATTGGAAGACAGTGACTTCATATTTTACTAATCCTCGTTATACATGCAATAGAAGTTAAATATAGGGGGCTGGCATGATCTGCATCACCTATTACAATAATCAGCTGTATTTTATACTTGAATATAATTATCTATCTTATATATAATTACATATTACGACTTATATATAATATCTAGCTGTGGGGGTATGTATGTAGTGCAATATGTATATAGATGATGTACGCTAGTGAGTGATCGAAATGATGGAGTAAAACGTGTACCTAATCACTTTGCGCTGCACAAGCTATACTGAAGTTTTTTTCTTGTATCAATTTTCTTCAATGTCGTATATATGCAGGCTTGCTTTTACTGTATCACTCAAAATTTCCATTTAACGCCGCAACATATTGCCCACTTTTCAATAGGGTTTATAATCTATTACAAATGTGAAGTGTGTGCGGAAATATTGTTACGTTGTAATGTGGCTATAATAGTGTACGAACCGCGAGTGTCCGAAATGGCATGTGCTAAAAAGGGTACTACTTCGTAAACAAATTTGATGAAATTTTTATTATTTGTATTTTACGTTTTTTCTTCATTGTGTTGTTCTGCACTGCTTTGTACTGTATTCACTCAGGAAACATCATTTCTACCTGCTAAACATTTACCGTAATCACTTTACTTGTACAGAATATGCTGAAGTTTTTTTCTTGTTTATATTTTTTCTTTATGGTATATAGCACTGTTTTGTATTGTCTCACTCAGAAAGCTTCTATTTTTTATTTTTTTTATTTAACTGTTCAACACTTACCTTAACACTTACCTTGCGCGCGGAAGCAGTGGGGAAAACTCTTTTACTTATACTGCAATTGAAGCTTGGAACTCTCTACCACAGCAAGTTAGGACAAATTCTGTTTATTCTAGTTTTAAGTATAGTGTTAAGAAATGTCTGATGTAAAGGGTAGAATCATTAGAGGCAGAGGAGTATGATTTTCACTAAAAGAATTCGGTTGAAATTAGGCATAGGAAAAGTTTGTATCGTCTTATGAAAATGTGCCATTGTATGACCGATTAAAACTACAAATCTGTATATTTCAATAGTTAGTTCTGATAGTAGTGCAATTGTTAGATTCAATTAAGGCATAGCAAAACAAGGATCACAATGTAAATAGGTGTGCTAGTCATGCTTTTTGTGTATATATCCTTGGTAATTATCCAATTTTATGAATTCAAATTTTTATTGTAAAAGTATGCAATGTATTGTATATGATGGATAATTGCTTAAATAAATAAATAAATAAAAAATATATTAATCACTTTACTTGTACAGAATATTATGTTGGACCACAATGGAAATAAGTGTGTTAGCCACGCTTTTTGTGTTTTCATCCTCGATAATTTTCTAGCTGCATTTTGTTTATTTATGCTGTTATCGATGTAATGTATGCTTTGTTAATTATCGAAATAAATAAATTAAAAAAAATCAAATAAAAAGCCTACATAGGCATCCACAGTACTGTAGCATCGGATCATTATAGAGCAAGTAAAATGCCAGACGCTGTAAACGCACAATGTTTGCCATTCAAATTATGTGGAGGTTACTGTTGTAAGACGACATGAAATTAACATAAATATATCGCTAATTTCGCCGTGAACTAATAAGTAATAAGTAATAAGTAATGAGACTCTACAGTAAGGATCGGATCAAACATGGCGCCTGTCCCGCGACCAATTTCGATAGGAACACAGATTTACTAGCAGGCTCCGGCACACCATCAATGTTAGCCATCTATATTTATTTTAATAAGATATTTATGTGTAAAATAAAATGTTGTATTAAAATTAGTTAATCAATCTTGTCGCAAAAAGCGTTACAAAACTGCGTCGAGCCGCAGCCTAACCGGAAGCAAGGACGGTAGTAACAGTAGCGCATGCGCTCACTGCAGATTTCATTTTGTTATCAATGATTCATCGCTCGTTTATAAGGCTGTAAAGTGTCAAGTGTAAACAATGTGAATTATCTTCGAGATTTTGGACACAAACTAAGTCAAAGGAATCGGTTGTGATTGGACACGAATGATGAATTCTATTCCAACTAGATTTTCTGTCTACCTAATACTATTCGTGCTTTTTAATAGCGTCACGGGAAAGCGTCACCACGGAGCGAAATCTGATCATAGCACCGAAAATTCGCAGCCTCTTCCGCGCTCTCAGCCGTCGGCCGAAGACGACGTTGACGATTCCGATGAGGCGGATCAGTGCTTTACCGATTTCGACGTGCAGCAGAACACGATCATTAGAACGTACGACTCGAGGGTTGCTGGAGCGGAGTTCCTGACGTCACCGAACATGAAGACCGCACAAGATTGCATGCTGGCGTGCTGTGAGACCCACCGCTGTAATTTAGCAGTGTTCGAAGACAAGGTTTGATTTTGCTGAACAGTAATAGTTTATCGTATTATGGCATGCATGCAATCGAGAAACGGGTGACGCTAAGGTGCTCGCACAACATTTTGCAGGATCATTTTGAGCATGTCAATTGTTAGACCAATAAATTGTGCCCTAAAATTTTTTATATTCTGATGTTATTTTAGGGCCCAATAGCCTTCCAATTTCCATAGACAAAACCTGTGAATTTTGTCGTGCAAAATTCACGACAACCTTTTCACTATTTACGGCCATGTTACATAGAAAATCAAAGAAATACCTAAAGCCGTCGCTTTATTAACATCTTACCTACATTACAAAACACTTGTCAATGTCATGCAGCATTCTCCTCTTTAATCACGTTTATTTTATTAAAACATCACGACATAAAAATCACGCAAACTTTGCTACAAACAAAACTGGCAATCTTGCATTGAACTGCACCGGACAGCGATGATTTCATTGGCCAGTGAGAAATACGGAAGATACGAAATTTCTCACCGGCCAATGAAATCATCGCTGTCTGGTGATATAGTATGATATAGTAATGATGAAGTTTTGCAATTACCTCATAGAACAAAGCCTTATAAACAACCTCATTGCTAGCGATTGCTAACATTTTGTTAAATTTCTAGTAATTCACCCACATCCATGTAAATGGTCGTAGGATCAAGGTATTCTTTAACGAGGGTCGACTGTCATATAGAGGTAGATCAGGTAAATTAAATATAACTAAAAGGTCCACAAATTTTACAGTAAATTGCAAAATTTAGTATTAGTCGGGCTCATAGGGTCTATGTCCCCCAGTGTACTCCTGGAACATACCCTGGGTATACCGGACCGTACCCTGGTAACTATCTGATATGGTTAGGGTTAGGGTTAGGGTTGGGGAGTAGGCGTAGGCGACTCCCTAGACTCGTTAGTGGAGTAGGCGAGGTACGGTCCGGCATATTAGATAGTACCAGGGTACGTTCTGGCAGTACCCTGGGGGACATAGACCCTCTCAGCATTAGTGGTTGAGTTTGTTAGATAATTAGACAAAGGTTATTTTCCCATTTAAATGTTATGTGACCATAAGTTGAAAGATTTTAGCTTTGTGCTAGCATTTAATTATATTAGGTATAACCTACCTTGTGCAGGCGCAGATTTAGGCCGGTTTGCACCGGTTTCCAGAAACCGGTCACAGGCCTCAAAATTCACCAGAATGCACCAAATATAGCCTAATTTTTAAAAAAATTCTTGGGGGCATGCCCCTGGACCCCCCTAGCTCCAGAAGAACATATGGAAACTGGTCACCCATACTCTCTGGATCCGCCCCTGTTGTGTGTGTATTTATAAATAGGTCGGTGTGGAACTAAGTGGTATGCGCATCTTAGTCATATGCGCATCTTATAAATTGCTATAAAATATTAACATTTCATACTTGTCTGTTTAATTTTAAGTAAAGCTCACGGTGAAAATTTCTTACTTATAGATGATCTATAAGTAAGAAATTTTCACCGAAAATAATTTAAACTGATGATGATTTATGTCAGCTATCATGGTGGACTGGCCTTCCACAGGCGACTAGTACTAGTAGCAAACTTGTGTCAATTCGTTGGTTTTTACCATTTTCATTATTCAGCCTTGCCTTATTATTCAGCAGGGTGCGGGGGGGGGGGACTAAGCGTTTATGTGACCTCAGTCAGGTTAGTATCTGTGTCAGTAAGCAGAAGAAATGAGAAGCTAGATTTATGATATAAAGGTTTGAAATTTGGCATCATTACCAAGCAAACATGTCTTTGACATTATCTGTAAAGACATGAGTAGTCCCTAACTGTGTGTTAAGAAATGAAAAGAGGCTATCAAGTTAATTTAACAATCTTGCCATGCACATTTGTGGGGTAATTTTCATAATAACTACGTCTAGAACAGATTTTAAACAATAATGAAGGCTATTCCTTTAAATAATTTTCTACTATTGATGCTTGGGTCATTAAATATTAAATAGCATATTTAGCTCATCTGACATAGTCAGATGCAGCTTGTAGAATTGCATGAGCGTCCGTCCGTCCGTTTGTGCGTGCGTGCGTGCGTGCGTCCGTCCGTCCGTCTGTCAACAGTTGGGCACAAAACGTCCTGAATATCGTGACCGTACGTCGAGCCGTTTAGATTTTCGGATTACCCCCCCTGAGCCTAGGTCGAGCCGTTTAGATTTGTGCCGCAATTCTGCATTTCCTCCCTATACCTTAAGTTAAGGAGGGAATGTTCCCCCTTCTTTTGCACCTCTTGACCTTTGACCTTTAACCCCCAGCTTCAACATCCCAACTCGTGATAGTCGGTGTATAGCATCATGGTAGGAAAAGCCATCACTGTGCCGAAATTGGAGGTCACAGGTCAAAGGTCAGTGGGGCACAGGGCAGATTTTAGACATTTTCTGAGGACATGGTCTGACGGAGCGATTGAATAACTTTTTTGTTTCAGCGGTGACCTAGCATTTTTATGGCTTTATTGAAAGGACCATGAAATGTACTTTCTGCTGACATGCGAAGAGTAAGTGTCGGATAAGTTAACCTTTTGACCCTCAAGAGGAGGGTTAAACATTGATTTGTTTCTCAACTGCGTTGGCGAGTACCTGTGGTTGTGGAAAGCTCCCATTTTACAGTGAAATTCCACACATAACTCTTACTTGAACAACGCTTACTTAGGAGATAATGAGATGACTTATATATGAGATTCTGTAGTGTACTGTACATTATGAATAGTTGGAATACAGTCACTAGCACTCAAATAATTACCCAGGAGTGAGGCTGCGGATTTCCCAGACTGAATTTTCTCATCAAATTTTGGCACCAATATAGACGCAAGTGTGTACGTTCTTGAGCTTATTCCGTCCACTAATCACTGGCCTACCTTGTACTGAAATTAGTTTACAGATATTTTCTATCGTATTGCTGTAAATTGTAATCTTGCACGAGCTGCTCTGGTTGTATCAACCATTGAGCTATTTTTTAACGAGCCAGATGTGCCTCGCAAGGGGTTTAATGTACCTTATTACCTGACACCATACAACGCACATTATGTATAGTAATAATATGGTAATTATTCGCTCTTGCTTTTTGCAATCCGTCGTCACACTGACAGCTGCCATTGCTGCAATGCTTTGGCTGACCGATGCAACGATGCCTTTGATAGCGGCCCGCCATCTATCGGAATTTTATTACACTAGTTTGAAGTGTTGGTTTTTTGGGTTAGAAATGAACGTATGTATAGGACGTCTTGCTATGCACAAATGAATTTATCAGCAGAACACCAGACACCAGATGAGCCCTGTCGCTCTGCGGCACTTGTTCATTGAGCTGAAGCAGTGAAACTTGATCATGAAATTTCCAACTCAGTTTTTATTAACTTGGAAAACTAAACGAGCAATAAACAATGAATTAGATTACTTCCAACACCACTATTAAGCAGTAGATGAGATTGTCAAGTATATATGTAGCAGTTCATCGTGCAGTAAAATTTTATAGCTCAATGGGAATCGCGTGTTAGGCTGGTGGAACCCACGTGGGGCAATGCGGTGGATCTACAATCCGTAGGGCTGATCCAGCCTTTGCCTTCACACAGGAAGTACGTTGTGTACCAAATAAAATATTAGTGGTCGTGTGTATATCTCTTCTAATGTCAGCTCATAAAACGACAGCATCATCACCATGGAATCGCGAAAGAATTGACTTCTCGCCAATGATTTTTAACGCAGGGTATTCGTAAGATATGCCAGCATGGCGATAAGCTCACGAAGATCGTCAATCGTCACCCAGATCCAAGAAATGAATGTGCCCTATACGAGCCCAAGCATGCACTCCCACAGTGCATGCTGCGCAATCAATATATGTAGAGCTTCGTGAAGCACTATCCAGGGACGGTCAGGGGTTAGCTCTGGCATGCAAGCTATTGAGCTTGTCGTTTAGAGCCAGCGAGACCAATCAGGGCATTGCAACGCGCCGAGTAATCTAATGTTTGCGAAGAAAACATGGAGGAGAGGTCACATTACTCGTATTGTAGTTTGACGTGGGGATTAGATGTGGGGTTGTTTCCGTTTTGTCGTCTCTGCATTCGAATAGACAATCATACTCACAGGAGCTGTAGTGTCCAACGCAATTGTGTAGTTTTGCAAAATTCACAAGGAGTGTGAGAGGCATTTGGGCATGCGATAAAGAGTGGTGTGGAGTTTGCTGGTTATTTACACATAGGTAGACTAGAAACTGATGCCATTCATTGAAAGGATGACGACATTGAATTGGCCCTCGGGGTCCTATGTAAACCAGCTTGTTAGCATATATATATGAGTATCGTAGGAAACTATACAGGCATATTTGTTTATTTCTGCTGCGCAACCGACAGTTTTTTATGTATTGTTTTGCACGAGTCGTAGAATGGCCTTTGCAGCAGACTCGTTAAAAATCACAATTGTTATGTAATTACCAGACGTCATACATGTTTACATTGTGACCTTTCTTATTATTAATATTATTCACGGTTTCCAATCACGCCCACGAAAATCAGCTTTATGGATTTTGTTAAAGTCTGCTGATTGTGCCCGATTGCATAAACAGTGTGGAGGCGGCTCGTGCTTGCCAAAATTTTATTGATTTTTAAAGTCAGGAATTCACATTTTGCAGTAACGAGCGAGTCGCTGTGCGAAGCATCCATTCATGTAATTTTTGTCGTGACTGGTTTCCTACGTAATAATTCTAAGTTATATTAAATAATAATTCATGGGTAAATGAAATTTTCCTTTCAGAACAATTCCAGTTGTTATTTATTCGACTGTGGTATTCCGAGCAAGTGTCTGTTCACACCACATACGAGCTATGTCACGATGATGAGAGATATGAATCTTCACGAGTACCACCTTGATAAACTAAAGGTAAATTAAACCCAATAACCTCACCGTGCATGTTTTGCACACAAGACTCAGATGAGATGTCAGCAATACTAATGCACACCCTCTTATTAACTGAGTGGTAAAAACCATCCACTTGAAGGGAACTCACATCATTAGCACTAAAGATGCTTTACTGTGCTGTCAGATTATTAGTCCTCTCTGTCCCGGCGTGATACATAAGGTGCTGCTCTCTCGATTAGATGACGAAAATCGGTTCTGCCTGCCTTAGGTAATTACCGATTACGTAAATGACTTTGTACATTCATCTATATGTATTTTTCTCGACAAATAACCTGTTGGAGTAAGTAGATCAAACTCATATTTAGTGATTCGCATGTTTTAAATGTTTCCAATTATTTGCTTCCCCTAGGCTGAATCAAAACATGAAACAGATCTTCAAAAGTTATCTAAAATGACGACAACCACAACAACGAGCACATCAACAACTACAACCACGACAACAACACCTGTGCCAACAACAACCATTACTCCGACGACGACAACTGCCCCGACTACGACAAAGACCACCGTGAAAGTACTGCTGGAGGATCCGCATGATAAAGATGGTAACTAGTTTTCAGCTGGGCTTTTTCGTGTGGAGAATAAAAGTTGCATGCTGGAGTTATATACAGAATTGCTTCCTTTTCTCCAAAAAGAAATGATTAACTGGCCTAATGCTAGTAACAGTAGCACCAGTGAGTTGAGGTGTAGGAGGGAACTTTAGGTGGCATTAAGAAAATTAGCATGGCTGTAGGATTATTAATGCACCCCACGTGGGCACACTTAACACTGTCATGGCTAACAAGGGGTATCTCAGTACTGGTTTTAAAAGCAAATTACCACAAACAACAGATGTCAACGAGGAGAGCAGACCCAAACAGTTGTAATCTCAATGGTCATGTGTCAGCAGTGCACTAAGCAGTGCACTAAGCAATTCACTAGCAATTCACTAAGCAGTTCACTAAGCAGTTTACTAAGCAGTGCGATAATCAGTGCACTAAGCAGTGCGATAATCAGTGCACTAACAGTTCACTAAGCAGTGCACTCGGCAGTGCACTAAGCAGTTCACTAAGCAGTGCACTACATGCACGGGTTCGTATTTGCTGTCTGCGTGTTGCGATTTGAAGCGATATCACTTGCCACTGCTGAGCGTGGGTGTCGACGTGACGCGTCACTATCGTTTCGCAGAATGTGACAAGTTCCAGTTCCACTGTGAGACGGGTCACATCCACTGCATTGCTATCTACGATGTCTGCGATGGCATCAAGCACTGCGAGGACGGAAGCGACGAAGACGGTTGCCCTGGCAACCCAGGTGAGTGGCACTTGGTCGGCTGGCAGTCTGTGTCAGTCAGGGGCCTGTTGTCGGAAACGTAAATAGTTGTGACTGTCATTGTCGTTTAATACGTCTAATAACTATTGTATGTGGCGTGTTGTGAAATGTGATTTGGTGCGATGTGGTGTGCATTAAGTGTGATGGGAGTCCATGTCAGTCTAAGGGTCGTTGCCAGAATCATCATAAATTGTTATCACCTTTATAATTCTGATGTGTCATAACTTTTGCATGTGCAATAATTAAAGGAACGTAAAATGTCGTGCAAAATTTATGACATTTTAGACTTATGAATGATAAGTGATGAGTGTTTATAATGTGTCTAATGATGGCCCCAGGAATGTGGTCCCAGAAATTGTGGGAATTGACACCCAAAGCCGAACAGACAATTGTTATGGAATTGATGTACATTCCTCCTCCCTGAGAACAAGACAAGACGAGGTGCTCAAGATGAGATGATCCTCATCTCTCACGATCCGGCATCATGAGAATCTCATATGAATGACAAGTAGTGTATCTCGGATCCCTCATCTTCTCTTAGTCATCCTGTGGCGGGTGGGGGGTGGCGGTGTGCATATGATTTCCTGTTGCTATGTCATGTTGTTTGCTCGATAATTGCTCTCCGATAATAACTGCTTGGTTGTCGTTTTTTATAATTCCTCTGTAGAAACTATTCAGTACACAGGGTTCGCCTCAGGCATTCCAAAAGGCACGTCGTTTATGGACGGATGGGGGAGGGTCTGGAGGGGGGTCATACCAATCGAAGTCAATTACGTGTGTCATAAGCGGTACCTATACACAGATAGACTTGCTCACTTTGGAGACATATACATCAAGCTGTGAAAACGTGGCATGGCTGTGTTGGGATTGTCAAAAGTGAACATAGCTGGAAATTAAGGCATATTGATTAGGCAATTAAGGCCTATGTAAGACTGGCCATGTCACCTCTTGTATGGTTTAGATGTCTGGGAGAGTATGCCTTCACGTTTTGACATGTCCTGGCTCACGTTGCAGATATAGGTCTGGGCAACACGTACAGCAGTTACCCTGTCAACAACCACTATGACGCCAAGAACACGTACAAGGACGGATACCTGTTCGACCTGAACAAGTACCCAATCGACACCGGCCCGCGATACGATGACTCCTTTTTCGGCGGGCGAAAGTCGCCGTACAACTACGGTAGTTACGGCAACGGCGACTACGGCGGTGGTCGCTACGGTAACGGCAAGGAGCCATACATCGGCAAGGACACGGGGAGTCCTGACTATCGCTACGGTAACGGCAAGGAGCCATACATCGGCAAGGACACGGGGAGTCCGGACTATCGCTACGGCGATCGTGCGGGCCAACGTTACGATATTTCTTCGCAGGATGGAAGCTACAACAACTGGGATAACAAGTGAGTTGGAGTCGTTAGCGCACCAATACGTCTACAGTAACTGTGCAACGAACACGAAATCACCGCGACAATACAAACATGGGTAGCAATACAAATACAATGCAAGTACAATTGTAACTTGTGCAATTCCAAATCCAAATAAATAAGCAGTGGCAGTAGAGATCCATGAACATGGCGCTGTATGTATTTTTGGTTGTTCTTTCAATTTCGGATTATTTCAATGCTATCTAGGTCGCCGTCTCGTGAAATCAACTGTGCACACGATAACCCGCACCTTCCTCCTCCGCCAACAGGTTTTATGGCCGGGAAGGGATTGACGTCTCTGGCCAGCCGGCGCCGCGGTGGGATGTGAGCCGGGAGGGGGAGAGCAGTGTGCCGGCGCCCCAAGAGCCGGTCATGCTCAACACGCACGGTGGGAAGAAGGGCCCACAGCTTGGCCCGCGGCCGCTCGCCGCCCCGGAGCCTACCATGCACTCCGGTAGCGTATCCCGTCTCGATTGTGCAGTGTCCTCGATAATGCGGGCTCTCGGTGGCACGCGCCATGTAAATAGGCGCCCCCTAGTATTTGTAACTGATGCTGTGAGATTTCGTTAAACACAGTGTAGCTCATGCATTAATAATAATAATAATGATAATAATAAATACAGAAATTAGTAATGTTGTAATGGGTACGATGGTGAATAATAATTTTGTATCCCATTACGTCGTAGCCGTACACTGATGTGTACTTCACAGGACAATTTCTTAATTGGCTTCGCAATTAATCAGCTGCATGTCTTGCACTCTGTGGTGAGGTCAAGTGGTCACATTTATGCTTGCATCGCTAAATGCTGACCTTGCGTGTAATGATGCTCTTACCTGTATACTAATGAGTTCTTTTACCTTGACGGTGACCAGGTCATGAGTTGGCGATGGGGGCGAGTCAGTCTCACGGCCAGATCTCCCCGGCCCAACACTACGCCGCCGGTCAGGCGGCGGACAATGACGACAGCAATGGCGCCCCCTATGGGCAAAATCTTCAAGGTACGTAGAGCATTTGCGCATGTGTTCGGTCGTCTGTATAAGTTATTTGGGTCGCGAGCATTCCACCGCGGTGATTCTCTGCTGTGAAGTTCAAAGAGAATGTAAAGTTCAAAATCTTTAAACATGTCTCCTCGTTTACGATGAGGTGAGCTGGCATTTCCAGTTTGGGCCTGTAGGAAAATATTTCTGCCATTTTAATAATTGTGCCATTTGCTGATCACATCCTATAGTGATATATATATTGCTGTTGTTATTAACAACTAGATATTAGATTATTATTATATTATAAGTAAATGGCAGTTAACAAGGAAATAAAACGACTTTTCAAAGACATTTCATGTACCTGATTTTAACAGATTGGTTCAATCGCTGCAAATGATAAATAATTTGAGGTGTCTCTGGTCAGATGCAACATTCTTTGTAACTAATAATATTAAAACAAGTTCTTAAAAATATAAATCTGCTCGACCGACGTGAGAGTTTGATTGAGCATGTCTGATGTTGATTTCTGGTTGTTTTCGCCATAGGCACACAAGACAAGCTGCCGCCGTACCAGCCCCAGGGAGTCCAGCGCAACGACATGTACGACCAGTCTATTCATGACAGTAACCGCGGAGGTAACCAGCTGCAGCCAGATAGGAATCGGGGAGCTGTGTTAGGGAATCGGGGAGCTGTGTTAGGGACTCTAGGGCAAGGATATCAGCAGCAACCCTATCAGGTAGACCACGAGCGTACTCAGAGGTGGCACGAGAGTTCACGTGCTGGTTTTACTAAAAATTATTAAAAACGAATTATTTCAAATAAAAAATAAAAACAAATAAAATATAATATAAAATACTAATTGGAATGTTGATAATAAATCAAATTTAGGACCAGTAATAATAAAAAAATTTATTAGGATAAATTTTTAGGATAGGGATTATAAAAATTATTAAAAGTTATTTAAAAAAAGGTTAAGCACAGAGGTAAACGGTTCCGCTTCTGCATGCCGATCGTCTTTAACTGGATAGAACGTACCATATTGTCGTACGCGAAATCCACTTGCATTAATGAGCTCTAGCTTTGCTAACAAACAGCATCTCTGCCATTATTCGCAGGGCGATGTCCAGCAGGAGGCAGCACGCGTTCCTCCGCGCGAGTACGCGCCCGCCAACCAGCCACCGCCAGAGCGGACGGGCGCCGATAGCGGTGCCATCCACCAAGAGGGCGTCGCCGCTGCCGCATCAGACCCTGCATCGGTGACCCCCGGCAACGCATCGTCGGGCGGCGCGGCGGCGGCGGCGGAGAAGGAGCCGGGCAAGCCGGCGGTCGTGCACCTGCACATGGACGTGCAGGAGCAGCAGGTGCAGCTCGAAGAGGAGGTGTTCTCGCCTCAGGCCGCCGAGAACTCGGGCGCGGTGCTCGCACTCTCGCTCGGTCTCGCCGTCACCGCGCTGCTGCTCGCGTTCGTCGGCTGCCGGCTGCGCAGCTTCAAGCGACGCGCGCGACGGCGCGGTCCCCTCAACGTGCACGACCCCGACTACCTTATCAACGGCATGTACCTGTAGGGGGGCGTCGCCGTGTCTTTCAGCGGGGGCATCTACCTGTAGGGTGTGCTGCCGTGTCTGTCAGCGGGGGCATGTACCTGTAGGGGGGCGTCGCCGTGTCTGTCAGCGGGGGCATGTACCTGTAGGGGGGCGTCGCCGTGTCTTTCAGCGGTGGCACGTACCTGTAGGGGGGTGTCGCCGTGTCTGTCAGCGGGGGCATGTACCTGTAGGGGGGTGTCGCCGTGTCTGTCAGCGGGGGCATGTACCTGTAGGGTGCGTCACCGTGTCTGTCACCGGGAGCATGTACCTGTAGGGTGTGCTGCCGTGTCTGTCAGCGGGGGCATGTACCTGTAGGGTGTGCTGCCGTGTCAGTCAGTGGGAGCATGTACCTGTAGGGTGTGCTGCCGTGTCTGTCAGTGGGAGCATGTACCTGTAGGGTGTGCTGCCGTGTCTGTCAGCGGGGGCATGTACCTGTAGGGGGCGTCGCCGTGTCTGTCAGCGGGGGCATGTACCTGTAGGGTGTGCTGCCGTGTCTGTCAGTGGGGGCATGTACCTGTAGGGTGTGCTGCCGTGTCTGTCAGCGGGGGCATGTACCTGTAGGGTGTGCTGCCGTGTCTGTCAGCGGGGGCATGTATCTGTAGGGTGTGCTGCCGTGTGCGTGTGCGTGTGCGTGTGTGTGTGTGTGTGTGTGTGTGTAAGGGGTTGCTATAGACCCGTTAATTGCCACAACCCTGACTATCACGGCATTGGCATATAAGCAACAGTAGGTGCTACATTTCCTTTAAGTAAGTGCTCACACCTGACTGTTTCATCAACAGTATGTACCTGTAGGACCACTGCAGTCCTTGTAAATGCCCATACGTGACTCTCACATCCTCAACATGTATGTGTAGGCAACATGGGGACAGGCAGCATATTCCCCTGAATATCGATCGCCCTTATTGTTTGATCAGAAGTGTGATGTCTAACTGCTAAGTGATTCCCAACAGTAGGACTCTTCTTCGTAACAACAAAGCGAAAATGATGACAGCCGAGTTATGATACCATCTCTTGGAAACTGGTGCAAAACTGAACGACAGGTTCAGTACGAACGATGCGTTTCAATAACATTGGGCTTGTACCAAAAACGTGAATTTACTGCTGGAAATCACTGATCTCGAGACTCTCCTTTCCTGAAATCGAGGCTCGCCAATACACACGCCATCTGTCTGCCAGATAAAGTTATGCTCCAAACTTATGCTTCTGACGTCGCAGTCAAAGCGACCCCGATTCTATATCTTACATCCCGACCCCTTAAATGCGTCGCCATAGCAGAGCATCTACCAAACGATATCAATTTCTTTCAATAACATTTCTTGAATTTACCTTGCCTCTTACACCTTTAAATAACACAATAATCAGGGTTTATACTAAACTATGCATTCCATACTACATGTAAATCTAAACGGATGACTTCACTACAATAGATACACGACAATACCTGTCTAATGTTAAGCCGACATGTCTGTCTTAATATACATGTACTACCTGCAAAACGCAAGTATTCGCCATTCGCCAGTGAGTTACACCTTATTCAATCTTTGACATAATGAAGTAGCTTGAAGTGGAACCTTGTCATAACCAACCATCCATCTGACTACTTGATAAACTACTTATCAAAAACGTTTACACTCATATTAGCATGGGTTACCTTACTATGACCTCACAAGAAGTGGCACTAGGCTCGCACCTCTCCATCACATTATCTATATTCGTGCATATGAAAGTAACGCAATCACAAATTCAAACTTCCATTTGCTACACTGTGGATCCATTCAAATTAACACTGTTCCATGATTCCTTGCTTTACGCTTCCAGCCACTTCCAGAAGACTTAATTTCTGCACAAGCCTTACTAGGGTTCTAGTGCTAGGCTTCACCTTTGCTGGTCTCACGAGCTGGTCCTTCCCTGGAAAGGTTTCTGTTACCCTTCCAATCCGCGACTTCTTCCTCGGTAGGTCATCGACGATCAGCACTACGTCCCCTCCCTCCAGATTCTTTTTCTCTTTCAGCCACTTCTGGCGCTGTTGCAAGGTAGGTAGATATTCCCTTATCCACCTGCCCCAAAATACATCAGCCAGATATTGTACCTGTCGCCATCGTCGACGCCCATACAGATCATGCCCTTTGAACACGTGAAGTGGGATATTATTGCTCGGCCTCAGGAGAAGTAGATGATTTGGCGTTAGAGGCTCTTGATCCCGCACGTCATCAGATGTTACAATGAGTAGACGCCCATTGACAATCGACTCAACCAGACACATAAGAGTCGATAGGCTTTCATACGGATGGTTTGTTGCTGAGCCATTTAGTTAGTCTGAAGCCTCCATTCCCCCCTCAAATTTGATCAAAGCCCTCAGATCAACTGCAAGTTTCACTGCGGTTTCCTCACTCTCAACTGACACCAAACAGTCATCGACGTAGAAATTCTGCAGAATGGCCTCTGCTGCTTCGGATTTACCATCATCTTGACTATTTCCTGCTGTTTGACGAAGTGCATAACTGCAACAACTCGGACTCCATGTACCTCCGAAGAGGGGGCACACATCCGGAACGTCATTGGTTGTTTGTGGAAGTCCCCATCCTTCCACCACAGAAATACCAGGACATCACGATCTTCTGGAGGCACTCTTACCTGATGAAACATCGCCTCAATGTCTGCCATGCGTGCCACAGGTTGTTAGTAAGGTCCGGCCCCTGTAGCACTACGTCGTTCAGAGATACTCCTTGCTACTTGGCCGCACAATCGAAGACGATTCTTACCTTGTCCGGCTTTTGGGGACTCAAGACGGGATGGTGTGGCAAATACCAAACAGTGGTGTCTTTGGTTTTGAATGTCTCATCACAGACTTCTTCTGCATAGCCCTTTCTGAGCAGCTTCTCTATGCCTTGTTTGTATTTCATACATAGAACTTTATCCCTTTGCAATCTCTTTGCCAGTGATAGCAAACGGTGTTCTGCTGTCCCTCTGTTATTCGGCAAGCTAGGCGGTTTCTTCTTGAATGGCACTGGTAGTTGGTAATGTGCACCTTCCTGTATGACATTCCTTTCCCAGACATCTAGGACCTTCTTATCGTTGATAGACATTCCTCTGTCTTTCTGAAGTATATCCGATCCTTCGATTTTCCCGAACTTGTGAACTTGTTCTTTCAACCCAACAGCACTATGGATAGACCTAGCTGTAGCCTTACGTGTTTCATCTGAACTCTTGTAACCTACAGGTCCATTCACTGACCACCCCAGTCGTGTCCTCACAGCATAAGGACCATCTCTCTTAACTACGCGCAGCAGCGTTCAATTGCGTACAAACAGTTTGCCACTGTACTTGGTTTCTGTTATTCTTTTAACGCACTGATAATCGTCTATCTTCGCACTGATCATGACTTGTGCTGTTGCATGAGGTGCCGAATTTTATTCTAGTGTGAGAAATAAGATCTATAATAACTCGCGATGCAGAGTCAAATATTGAAACAGTGTTCGATTTTTGAATTGTAGCGACTACACACTATTGTAATATAATATACTTGCATGTACATTAGAATCATGTGAAGAATGAAGGGTTTTGGCATTGACACGGGCAAGCTCGTTCGAACGCCTGTTTTTGGGAGCAAAGATGCCTAAGCGTCTATTATACTCAATCTGGCGAAATGTACTGATTGATTAGATACGTATTCCATGCGGTATCTGGTACAATCATTCGTGAGACGTGTGTACTGTGTAAGCAGTGTAAAAAGTCGGTAGTCTGACCCAGCAAACATTTTGGAGTTGATATTATATTAATTATCATAGGTTCGTTTCACTGAAATTGCATTGGACCTGACATGGCCTCCTGGGACATGTGTGTTTCCCTTTATCGTGACACACTATTTTATGTTTTCATGTTGCCAGCGTTGTCTTGCCCATTTATTTATGTCCTCGCCCGCTCCACTCATTGTATCGAGTGTTAGTGTGTTTTTCCAGAATCTACAAAACCGTAGAAATAGATATACACCTATCTATATGTATATATCTATTTCTTTGCTACAACCCGTTATTGATTGTGCGTGTGCTTGTGATTGTGATTGTACGCATCGCAGGTCATACGGCACCTGATTTATTGTTATGTCCGTCTACTTCCCGCCAACCAATTTGTAGATATGTTACTTCTGAGGTTTTCATGACCCACACCCCACCGCCCCCACCCCACCTACTATCACCAGTACAACAATCCGCCCTAACCGTGACTGTGATGTTGTGCGGCGTCTAGTCCTGACAGTTCGATTGCACGTAGTGTACACCTATGTTAGGGTGTCTTGTGTGCGTGCGTGTGCGCGTGTGTGTGCGTGCATCAGTAAATGCGTGCACGTATCCGTGATTATTCTGTGCGTTCTATCTGACCGCCAACTGTGTTAGGTGTTAGTCCACCGAACTGTGTGTGCTTCCCACCACATTATTCTGCAATATACGATTCGTCGCTAGACGGTAGGACACCTGCGCGAGCGTCTCTCCTGGCTGTGATTATATTCAATCGGCTGAAGGTCACTTATACTGCATCGTATCGGAAATGAAATATCTCGAGAGCTTCAGTTGTGTTCTGTAACGAAAGTGTTGTTTCTACCGATTCCAAAGAGAAATACAGCTTAAAATATTTATTTGATTTTTAAATTTTATTTACAAATTTTATTTATGTGTAATTTATGTATATAAATGTGTGTGTGCGCGTGTGATCGAAAGAAAAGTCAAGTGATGTAACACGTAATCAGAATTTTTCTTTTTGTTTATTTTACCAGTATATGGTAAAGCATTTAACAATCGTAAGGAAACCGATTTGTGATATTATATTGGCAGATATATGGGCGATATGTGAATTATGATTGTGAAAATAATCAAAATTATCGTGGTAGTTATATATGCAACTAGCCGTACATTTGACAAGTTTACTCTCCATTGTGTATTCCGTTGATTCCAGTAGTAGACTGTAATGGAGGTGAAACGAAATTGCCACCGCACTGCAAAAATAAATATTTAATTTCCAGCTTGCTAACCTGATTAATGAGTGTGCGTATGTGAAACCTAGCACAGAATGGAATCAACGGGATATATTCGAAAGGAAGTTCGAGTAAAGACAAATTCCCTTGTTACTTGTATTATTGAGGAAACCTGTATCTATTAATATGTGATTGTATGTGTTATAATATGGCATAACACGGTTAAACGTATAGTTTACTGAAAGTTGTTGATTGCCATCCAATTATTTATTACGAAAGAACTTGTCACTATCAATAGTCGTGTATTAAAGACTAGTGGATGCATTGAAAATTATATGTGAAAGGAAAACGCCGTGTCTTTTGTAAAGAAAATAAAATTATGACTAAAACTTGGTTTTAATTCGTGTATAATCTGTCAAATAACGATGTATAACTAGCGTTTATGTATTTATCAAAACTGGTGGCGTTACTTTTTTTAAGGCAAGCTTGCAGCCATGCAAGCATGCAGTAGAATCAAGAGCCCATTAACCTTCATAATACCCCTGTCACACCTTCGCGCGATCATGCTCGCGCTCCCACTGCCACCTGAAGGTATGAAAGCGCGAGGAAAAGCGCAGTCCATGGAAATCCATGGCGTGGTGTGACCATGGTGTGACACCATGTAGCTTACAGTACGCTCTTGACTCGATTATTACGCTCTCACTGCGATCCTATGCGTTCCCAGTTTGATCTTCAGTGCGCTCTCAATGCGCTCAGTGCGCTCCCACTGCGCTCTGTGCGATCTCAGTGCGTCCAAGTAGCTCTCGCTGCGCTCTTACTACGCTCTCAATACGTTTGCAACTCGCTCACTGTGCGTGCGCAGTTTATTTTATTTTGCATGTTTGGGGACGTCTGACTTTTATGTTTGGGGAATTGGGATTTTTTTGTTTAAGTTTAAGTTAATATAACTTTATTTAAGGACATTTAAGAAATTACATAAGCAAGGCATTATGCATAAAAGAAACAGAACAAAATTTATTTATTTTTACATTACCATATTTATTTCAAACATACAATATTGTGTACTGTGTACTTGTGAACTTTTGACCTGTTTTTTTGTAACTGACACTTTATATCATGCTATCTTGCCAGTGCACAGAGCGTGCAGGTGAATTGAAGTACAGCTTGAGGTATTCTCGTTGTTTCTTGGCTGCAGTGGTAACACGGTTGTTCCCTCTAATGTTGTTCAGCTCGTGCATATTTGCATCAGCCCTCCAAGCACCTGGGATCAGTTGGTGGTTGATATCCTCCGCATCTAAGGCAGCATTCTGAATGGTAGGATAACGCAGTCTCATCAAATTATGAAGACAGACGCAGGCCTCGACGATCAGTCGTATGGTGTCAGGTTCATGCTGCATGGTGGTCAGGAGAAGGATGCCAAAGGCGTTCTCCACAACGCGACGCCCTCTAGATATCCTGTAGTTGTAGATCCTATGCTCTTTGGTCATCTTGCGCATCAAGTAAGGCTTCATTATGTTGGTCCGCATCGCGAGCGCATCATCAGCCAGGAAGAAATATGGCATGTCCCTGTCGTCATTTGTTAGGGGGTCTGCTGGAGGAAGTCAAATGGTCCCATCTACTAGGCACTCATTCAGCTCTGAATCATTGAAGATCTGTGCATCTGACATGTGTCCGTGCCCTCCGACATTTATCCAGAGGAACTTATAGTCCGCATCGACGAGGCCCATTAGAACAATGGAAAAGATGCCTTTATAGTTGTGATAAAGGCTTCCACTGTTCGCTGGCTTTCTGCAGGCAACATGTTTTCCATCAAGGGCTCCACCGGCATGAGGGACGTTCCATCTACGTCACGCCCTTCTTCAGGGGAGATTGGACAGCTGATGACTTCCTCCTTGTACTCATCTACGATGGCCTAGCAGACTTCTCCTACTAGGACAGACATGGTGTTATGAGGAACTCTGAAGTCAAACTTCATGCTGGCGTACTTGTCACCGGTTGCTAGGTGGCGCATAGTAATTGCAATCTTCAACCCTGGTTCCATAGCCTTCCTATACATGGTGTCTTGTTTGGTGCATCTTGGACCAAGTCTTGCTAGGAGCTCATCAAACATCTTTGGTTGTACTCTCAGGAAGTTAAAGAAGGATGCAGGATCTTCGTGTCGTAGCTCGGCTATTAGGCAGTGATAGTGGCCAAACTGAACTCTTCTCCCCACGTTTAACCATGGTCGAACCAGCATCTCCTCTTCCTTCTTTCCCTCCTCCTTCTTCTCCTTCTAATGGTGTTGACAAGGGCCTGGTCATCTTGTGCCTGCATATGTGCTAACTGTAGTACAATTAGCACATTCTGCCTGTCTGCGGTCATGGTGAAGAGCAGATGCACAATGATTGTGTATAGAAGATAAAGCTGTATTTATAAAAAAAAATTGTGTGGGGGGGGGGGTCAGTGGAAGTGGGATCGTAATAAGAACGCTCTGTGAGCCTATTGCAAACGTGGGAACCACGCCTTGGACGTATTACGAGCGTCATGGTCTCAGTGGCAGCGCAGTGTGGCCGTAGAATGAGCGGAAACAAGCCCAGAAAGCGTAGTGGAAGCGCAGTAACGGCGCAATAAGAACGGGAGAGGCACGTATGGAGAGCCCAATGAGCATACAACAATCGCAAACCAGTCGCAGGGGACGATTTCTGTGACCCCAAGTCGCTTCTATGCGTTGTTGCTACGTCCACGATACGCTCATGTTGCGCTGCCACGGCGACTGTACTGCGTCATTACTTGTTTTGATTCGGACCAACACAAGCGCCGAGGTTAGGCGCTCAAGGTAGCTCATGGCGACCCTCTTCCGTCCTTGACAGTTTCCACTGCGTCACCAACTCGTTCTCAGAGACCTTACTGCACTTTTCCTCGCGCTTTCATACTTTTCAGGTCGCAGTGGAAGCGCGAGCGTGATCGCGGGAAGGTGTGACAGGGGTATAATGGGCTCTTGCTTGGAATAGACTATAGCTACAAATAGACACAAAAAGGAGAGCACATTTAAAAAACTGTTATAAATACAATTTTAAGAACATATAGCAGATAGGAGAACAATGAATGATGCGCGTATTCCGAATGAATATATATATGTATATAGGTGTGTGTGTGTGTGTGTGTGTGTGCGTGCGTGCGTGCGTGCGTGCGTGTGTGTGTGTGTGTGTGTGTGTGTGTGTGTGTGTGTGTGTAAATTTGTATATATATATTGGTGGACGTATGAGTATTGAAATGATGTACCTTAATCACTTTACTTGTACAGAATGTATAGGCTTACTGTCGTTTCTTCTTCTTCTTCATGTTGTATAGCGCTGTTTTGTATTGTATCACAAAAAATTTTTATTATTTTAACTGCTCAACACTATTGCACTTATCAGATTTTTTCTCCATGAAAAAGACTGTCTTCAGTACATGTATTTGTATTTGAATTACATCCATAACATGATTATATATTCAATAATAATATTAATAATAATAAAATAAACAATAATATATATATATATATATAGAGAGAGAGAGATAGAGAGAAGGGGAAGGAGGTAGCGAGAGAGAAAGAGAGGAAGGAGGGGGCAGACAGAGAGAGA